TTGCAATCAACGTAGAATAGTTCAGTTTGTGTACTCTTTTCATGCTAAAGGGTTCAACGTTCCGGTGGTCAAACGTTAGGCGAGTAAATTGTATGAACAGACAAATCGAAGATCAATTAGAGACTGTACGGTACGGTACGTACGGTATTGTACTCCGAAGTCTTTTCTTGTTCTCAAAAAAATCCCAACTGCTAACAAACCACCCACGGCATTTGTCTACTCTCAATACATTCCTCACTTATCAAAATCCACTGCCAGCGGTGTAAAGACGCACAACAATCAAATCTAAAACCATTTAAAATTCCTACAGAAACAAATTCATCACAWCAGTAATACCATGGAAGGCAGTGTCGATTTGACTATTCAGAGTATCCATGGCRCTGCCTGGAGACAATGCGGCGCAAACGGCGTCGATGACATTGGTGCCCTGTCCGCAATCAAAGCTCATGTTTCTTTCTCAGGGTCCGTTCCGAATATGAAAGTATCTTCATTCGCAATATGTCCGGATAAGGGAAAGCTTTTTGTKGAATCCRACACTCACGAGATTGTGGAAACTTCTGAGAAAGAAACMAAAATGAACCCACAAAAAACGCGGCTGCTCAATACCACTTTCACCGATCCCTTCGAGGAACAGAGACTCCATAATTCCATTTCTTCAAATAMCTCATCGTCGTCCAGCACTTCGAGCTCTTCATACCGACCGCATTTACACTTTGATCTCCGCGAAGAAAAGGTTATAGATGCCACTGAGATCCAGGATCTGATCCTTGATCCCAATGCAGATCGCGTCGAYGTCGGATCTATGTCTACTCCACAACACGACATGATCATCAAGTTGCACATCACGTTCAGATCGGTCGATGGTGATGCAATTAGCATTTCTTCCGAAGGTGTAGCAGAGCTGAGAATTCGTCAGACCAATTTTGAAAATTTACCTTTGACTCTCGATCTTCCAATTACTCAACCAACATGTGGCGACTCCTCCAACACAGTTTCCGAAAATGTGCCAAAAAATTGCCAAATATTGTTCGGGTCATCTTCGTCTATTCGTGTTCGTCTAGACGATGCATCGAAACGTCAACAATATCTTGCCACACAAACCACCACCTCACAGGAGTACATTCTTTCCGATCACGTGGATGAGATTCAATTGGTAGGAATGGTGAAAAAGATTCACGAGTATGAAGAAAGGGGAAAAATCCGGGACGACGAAGCCGAACCAAARCGCTTCGGAGTCGGAAACAACGGCAAAGGGAAACGACGCTTGTGGTCGTTTGCATGCGGTGGAACGGGAGATGTGAAACATTCGATCAAAGCATTTTTTGATGAAATGCGGAATAAAACGAAATGCGTGGATCTTGAGTTAGCCACGAACCCCACAATGACATCCACCATAATCACCAGAGAATCATTAGACTTTGAGAACATACCAAAGCACCATTTTCGTTAGGAATTTTTTCGATGCTGCTGCAATGCCCGAAATTCCTGCGATCCTTCACAACTCTTGTTGATGAACCAGCTTTGGTGTGAAAGAAATCTGGTCCGTATCTTTCGTGCTGCAACAACTCCGYATCTCCGWMTRTTTTTGARGTACTAGAAAACAAACTGAATATATCATAAATCTTTCCTTTACCAGATACCACRTATTTGACAATTGCTAGTAACAATAAATCTACTTTTCTGAAGAAGTGATGTCTTGGCTGTTGTTGTTGCTCTTCCTTTTTCTTGTGTACTAGATATCATTGAATTTGGTTTCGATGTATAACKTTCCTGGGTTGGACGAAGATGCACAACCAGTACTGGCYGAGATGACAATCAGCTTTCATTTTAACATCCGGCAATTTGTCGCAAAAAAACACAACTCTGACGAAAGTAAAGAGATAAAGTGATAGGGTGTTRCCAGCTTAATATTATTACTTAACTATATCGTACTTGGTACAAGCCACTCTTGGTGACATTCCGGACTCCCTTGTAGGGTTGGTACGACTCGCCGGTAATGCTCAAACCGCTTACCGTCAAACCACTCACAGAGGTCAGAGGAATCTTCCAGTGCAAGGACAAATTGGGTGAYCGAATAATTTCTTTTTCATCCTCGTCTTCGCTGTCGCCGTGGTCTTTCCGATGCTTTTTGGGAGGATTCATCTTGAGCGTCGCAACGAGTTGCACCCGCGGTTGGGTGGGGTCGTCCGCCAGCTTCCCGAGCTTCCATTTTGCAACCTTTCCTGCTTCGTCGTACACAACCGATCCAGTCGAAACCTGGAAAGACGCCGTTCGGAGTTGTTTGGGRAATGGAATGGTGACAGCGACGTCCTCGACCATCATTCTTACTTTGTTGTTCCGCGACGCGCTTGTRATSAGGGAGGAGAGAGATCGTACCCTTAYGGTCACCATAAGTCGTGCAGAGTATTCGATCTCGACACTRYTGCTTCCACTATTGCTGTTCTTCGGTGGCTTGAATATATTCCATTGTGAATGGCATTCCAGGGGCGGGGAAAAGTTTGACTTTCGATCGGCGCTAATCGAGTACTTCATCAATTCAAAATTCCCATCTGGGGGGACAAAGCTCACTACATTGTCTCGTTCGTAGCGTCCGTATCGCACACACGGGTGGAACGAGCAATCGTCGATCAATTTTGGGTCCGTAAATGTGAGCAGGAGATCTGGAATCCCGCTGAGTTGGCACTGGCACYTGATCTTTCCGGAAACGTCCGACTGGACAATATTTCCCGACGCGGCATCGATGATGGCATCGATCTCCTCCACAATGTCCATGTATATTTCGTTTTGCGTATAGGTCACGCCCGCCGCCCTCCATGGCATGTTGCTTATGGTTCCACTGGGAAGCGCGTCCGAAACACTCGTGTTCGCAAAGACCGCCGAAGAAATCTTCGACATGATCGACGGTGGCCGGATCATGGCCTTGAGCGCGTTCGGTTCGGTGGTCAGTGGCCAGCCATAGTCCACCATTTCTTCCAAAAGCTGATAGACGGTTGAGAAGTTTTCCTTCACGGCCGACTCGTCCGCCGGATCCCCAAAATAGTCGACGAAAATATCGGCAACCCGGTGCAGAAATTCGATAATCATGAGCGGGCTGACTTCGCCCGGGACGACCGCCAGATACGACAGACCGTCTCGCAGGATGCTGATGATGTACAAGGTTCCGTGGTTCGTCTCRGGTACTTCCATAACGGGAAGCACGTCGAGAGGCAACAACAATTGCTGTTCTTCGTTCGTGAGGAGTGAAGTTGTGGTGGAAAGACCTCCGTGGTGGTTTACCCCTTTGGATGCCTTGTCCCAGAAGTAATCGCAAACCGAGCGAGAAACAGGGGCGTCCCGGAAATGTCGCTCGATCAAGACTTCGCCCGTCGATGAAAGTATGAACATGGATTGAATCATGGTTTGTGTGTTGTTGTTTTGGATATTGTATTTGTTTTATTCCTTGTTGTTGCTTCTTCGTGCGGTTRCCTTGTCTTAGCGGTTCTGGGTCTGTGGTTATTTCTATCTTTGTTTTCTTTTCCTTTCTRTTGTGGGGTAGAGCCGGCGATCATGTCATGAACGCTTCGTCGAATAGCAATTAGAATCGGTATCCAGAGTACTCGTACTCTTGAACGGCTCGCGTTGTGAACAGGTCGGGAAAGCCTTCAGACATGACCGAGTGGGAAAGTGAAAATCTCAGCTAGATTTCCGTTCCGTCTTAGCCTCATTGATCCTCGATTTCGACGTTATTCTCACTACGAGTCGTAGTACGAGTACGAAAACATTCATTACTTCTCCTCAGTATTTTTTCTTGGGTATTAGTAGTAATACGATATCYTACGTACGTACCTTTCACTAAGTGACGAGGAATAAGGAATGAGGAGTTTAATTTTTTGGAAGATTGAAAGCGGACAGTTGACTAGATCGACTCAACTTCTTGAAACATCGACAGAATGTTGAGTGTTGAGCGGAAACTCGTACGAGTACGAGTAAGGTACCTTACGCACCGATACGATTAGTTGGAAATAGTTCGAGGTTGTACTGGTACCTACGCATGAATACTGCTTGTCATCCTCTTCTGACTAGTTGGATCGACCATWTTTTCCGCGCCAATTTTGGATTCGATTTCTTATTTACTGTATCACACCTTGTGAAACATTCGTACATGATGGTACGTAACGTACTCGTAGTAAGAGTACGGTACATCCMTCCTGCAGACGTCTAACCAAAGACAACTAAACAAACCAATAGTTTGACGTAAAAGTAATGAAAATATTATGGAAGYAAACAACTCGTTTTCTTTTTGGAATCGACATCTGAACACTACGAAGGCGTTATACCAGACCTTTGCTGAAACTCGATAGCAAGTCTTGCCTACCGAACCCTCAATTTTCAAGCCGGAACACGATCGAAACACCATGGCGGCACCGCTTGGAATCGAAACGCCCGAACTCRAGGCACAATCAGAGCAGAAACAAGAAGAATCCTCGGAGGGTCCTCAATCGCGATCGCTCAAAGAACATGGAACACAACTCACGGGTATCTACTGCACGTGCCGGCACGCCACGCTRTGCGACAAGTGTGGGAATCCGATGTCCACCAAGGAGGACACCAAGCGGGCCATCGAMACATTAGTACACGACAGACGTCCCCCGCTGGCAAACGTGTTTGGGAATGGCCCCTTGTTGGTCTCGAATATCCCAGACTCTGCCTTGACCAGCGACCGAAACAGCGACAGCGCGGGGGTGGTCCTTGGGATTGAGTGAGTTCGGAACTCAATGGCGGCGTGCTCATAGAATACTTGTGATATTCAGCGGCAGCAAGCCAAACGTTAGAAAAGCAGCAGGACTGATTTGTCAAAATACTAATGGATCGCGCTAACATATTTGGGTTTCGTTCTGTGAATGTGCTTGTATTTTGTTGCGCGTTGTAGCGAGGCTGGCAGAGGCTGTGTGCTCGGTCCAATGGTTTATGGGTGTGCCTACTGGAGTGTCGATGTCGACGCTTCGATTCCCAAGGGATTTCGTGACTCGAAACAAATGAAGGAGTCAGGTATGTTGAGTGGTTGAACTGTGTTGTTGCGATTGGTACGCGCTCGCATCATACTTTCYGGCTCATTCATTCACAATCTCTTTGTTTTCTCATTGCATAATCGATGGTGGTGGCTCGTTATTGYAGAGAGGGAYAAGCTCTTCGAAGAATTRAAAGGTTAGTCGACTTGATTTCGTTTCACAGATTCGCCRCAGATGAGTCGATTGAAGTTTGATCTTTATGGAATGATTTCTAATCTAAAATTCTATATTCTGTCCTTCACGCAATCGAAACTGCTGGCTGCCGACATCCATTGACTACCACAGAGCACCCCGAAATAGGATACGCAATGCGATCAATTCTCCCCTCCGAAATTTCACGCAACATGCTTCGGAAATCTACCGAAGTATACAATCTAAATGAGATGAGCCATGACGCCGCCATCGTATTGATTCATAAAATCGTCCACAAGGGAAAGGTCAATGTGAAAAAGGCCTTCATTGATACCGTAGGCAATCCGAAGTCGTACAAACGAAAATTAGAACGAGAATTTCCGAACATTGACTTTGTTGTAGAAAGCAAAGCGGATGCCAATTATGCGCCATGTTCGGCAGCGTCTGTGGGTAAGACAAGTAAAGACAAAGCTGCAGTMTGCCTTGACGTCGCCAGGCTTACATCCCGTATCTTCTGACTTCGATTTTTTTCGTTCTTAACCCCAACAACCATCTTCTCCAGTCGCAAAAGTGATGCGAGATCGAATGCTCGAAAATTGGAAGTTTTCAGAGTCATGTGAGATCTCTCACGATTTTGGAAGTGGTAAGAGTGAAAATAGATTAAAAACWTTGTTTGATCAACAAGCAGTTTCTCCGTATTGTATTCGCCGCTATCTTCACCCCTGACAAAATTCCTTGCACTACTCGATATCAATAACAGGATATCCGAGTGATCCTAAATGCAAAAAATGGTTGGCAACACTGCACGAACCGGTCTTTGGATATTCCGAYATTCTGCGTTTCAGCTGGGCCACCTCGAAGCAAAAGTTGGAAGAGATTTCGGACGCAGTTCCGGTCGTATTTCGTGCAGACTTGGACGACGACGATGCGCTGGAGCAACAAAAGGGAATGACACAGTTTCTACAAAAGAAACGCAAGAGATTTGGCTATTTTGAGAAAAGAAACATTCGAACAAAGAATCGACTTGAGGAGTAAAAATTATCWTGACTTGGACTAGCACTTTCTGATCGATTCAGTTCATGATGGAATCACAACCATCATATCTTATGGCATCTTGCTAAATCCTGTAGTWTTAAATTCAAGCATGRCTGCTTCTGGGGGTGTCTACGCGAAATGGGCATTGACTAGKAGGGTTTGAATMRGTGAAAAAATGTGGAAGCAAGTTYARACGCAAAGAACAAAGAACAACTSATTCATAAACATTCCACAGAAAGAACTAGTTGTAGTATGGATTACTACCAMTGCTACTACTRCTATACACTTCATCAGTTTTTGGATGGTTTAGCTCCATTCTGCCCTATGAACTTGSCAAAACTCTTGAGACATGATTCACTTTTTGTTCTGTCAGCAGCTGATATTCCATTAGTTTAGGATGTCGTCCTAAGCTACATCAAAAGGCCSATCAAGTTGCTGTATTTGCATCACTTCCTGCCTCGCGTTATTTTAACAACTTCTASAACAAGTACGAGTAGCGGTACTTTTAACTTATTTCCACATACCTCATAAGTAGTAAGTCGTACTAGGGTACGTATTCCTGATTCCAGAGGATATCCTCTATCCTACCAGTACCTCGTTAYCCAAATAATGGTATGGAYAGTGAGTCTTGAGCCTAGATACCTTAGCGAAGGAAAGAAAAAATAAKAAATACAGAGATGATATCTATCGAACAAAGTCTCGATTTTTGGAATCGCCAAGGTATTTTAATATTTAAATTATTTAATTATGCCTAGTACAAAATACCCTAACAAAACTAGTCGTAGATGACGTCGTCTTTCAGCGCTGTTGACACGTCTTCGTGATTCCATCATATTTATGTTCCCTTCATTGTCAACTTCGGCGAAAGACATCAGAACTTGACTTCACTTGACGACATCACGACTAGTACATCAGATTGCATCGATCATCGCAATGTTTGTTTCACGACACGCGACACGACCTGTCASGAAAAGCTTTTCGTCTACCGACCGTTGGCACTCGGAGTAGTGCGATGGCGAAGAATTATCGAAAGAATTTCACTCACCTCTAAAAATGTTTCAGAACRTCAGACAACTGTGGTACCACAAAATCCAAAACAAAACGAACAAATAACAATCAAAGTGCGAAGGTAGAGAAATACAACACAACTCAACACAACAAAATACTATACACCATGTTTGCCAAAGCATTTTGTAGCCGGATCGGAGCAGCACAACTTTTTAGAATGAATAACGGTCTCGTACAGACGCGTTCGTTGTCGTCCGAAGGAATTGCAGCTGTTGATAAATTGAAGGGAGCCCTCGAACAGTACCGCGTTGAGAAGTAAGTTCTGCCAATTGACAGAGAGATTTATTCGCTCGATCATTTTATCCTTGTCCACCAACTCCATCTTCACCTTTGACCATAATTGTTTTTTCAACAGCTATGCTCAGTGCATCCCAACTCGATTCAAGAAGGATATTATTCATGCAGCGAAAGAAACTGAAACAGAGCAGGTCGCACTTGAAGGCTTGCAGAAAGTTATTGCGAATATTGGCGCCTCAAACAAGGTATCACGGAAAGACATAGAACTCATTTTTTCTGAAAACGGTGTGTCGGGACGTATGTCTACAGAACAAATGCTGAAACTGCTCTAGTTGATATGCTGTTGATCAAAGAAGGATTCAACCGTGGGGCAGAGCAGAATASTTTCTGCCCATTACTTTGCTGAAGTTAAATTGATGTACAAATGACGGAGCAAGCAAAATTACATAGATAGATACATATATTGAAAATCAAATCATTTTTCCACTTTTAATTTTAGAGATTGTTACGTTGTGTTGGTCCGGATGGACACAACTCTAATGATGCTGAGTTTGTGGATTCCTTTTCATACGATATCATTTCGTGGTTTGTGCGAACTTATCAATTGATGAATCGTGAGGCTTGTATTTTCTCTAAAATATCTTTCCTGTAGAAATCAAGTGGAGGAGGTCCAGCATCAATCGCACCATCCGACTCATCGCTATTATCAACAATGAAAAGCTCCCATGGATCGATGCCGGCTGAACGTAGTTTCGGATAAATTTTTTCTTCCCTTTCTGATTCCGAYGGAAGTGACCCGTCGGATGTACATAACAAGCCACCAAGGTATCTCTGGCCGACCGCACGAGCTGCTCCAGCATAGTGAAAGATGACGTACGAAAGATCATCAGCTACGTCAACTAGAGTCCAAAACTCATCCGATGTGACTCCGTTGTCAAGCACGCTGAATCGGAAGGTCCCTGGAATTTTGCCATCCCTGACACGATAATGTCTCTTCGCCCAAACATTCCTTCCATCAATGGTCTCCACCCGAAACACAGGATCATACCACATACTTCTGCCATCAACGCTATTATAAAATATTTGGTTCTGTGACGGGAACTGATCGTATGCGACATTTGCACCCGCGGAAACTTTCCATGAAATATCAGTTTTCAAGCTGCTTTCCAACGCGTTTTCGTCATCCAAGTGACCGATTAAAATCTGTCGTGCAACTTCTTTCGTCAGAGGTTCGCCCCTAAATGTCGACATCGGCGTCACCTCTGGCAACGTTGGTATTTTTGCATCACAACCAAATATRTTGTTTTTTTGGAGGATGCAATAACTAAAATCCCTCAAAAGTTCGGATTCATAAGATACAATTGTGCGATAAGATGCGACTTGATCGCTTGTATCTACTGCGGTCAGCGCATCAAGACACTCCTTACAATTTTCATCCTGGACACACTTTCCAATGCAATCGCCGCACTTCGATATCATCTTGTAAAACTCTTGCGCATTTCTAACCGGGCCCTTTTCCCATGTTGCGTCGATACTGTGTTTCACCCAATCGATTGGAGCAACATACTGATTGAAAAATAGCATGAGCGCATAAGTGAAATCGTCCGACGTCCATCGGCCAAATAAATCCATCATTTGCTCTTCYAGCCGTTTCCCACTTGCATCGTTACTCCAAGGAAGAAGTAGGGCGCTAATGGAGGGCGATTGTGGATCGTATGGTCCGCACAATGCTGAAGGAAGTGATTTGCTTCCCTCGCAGTCAAGCGCAAATTGACAGAACTCTTTCTCCCCGCTGGAAGACTCAGATTTCCTCTCATTGAAAATGCCGGTGATGAAAGACAGATCATCATCTTTTTTCATATTAAATGCAACCACTACGTTAGCATCCAAAACTTGCTGACGAACCTTCGAGAACTCTTCTTTCGTATCCGGCAAAAGAACGATATCAGCCTCGATTAAACCATCCGAAAACCAGTTTGCTTTTCTCCGCAATTGTTCGGCCGCCTCCAATATGGAGGGACTCCCGTACGGAGAGTAAGTCCCGAATTTAGACTTGATTTCGTTAGCGTTATGGGGAAGAAGGAATACTGCTCTGCCTCGCACTTCCTTCGATGSCGTTGTCGATAATACATCGTAGGTACTGGCCTGTGATGAGACACCGAGCATCATCGACGCACCAGTGAGTTGTACATACCGAAGATTATCATCTTTTGTCGAAAAGCCAGTAGTTGCCTGCCAGGTGTTCAACGGTGTGTTTCTCAAGGCACCAGACCTCGACAATCCAAGCTGAAACGGTAGTACCGGTTTGACAATGCAAATCACCGAAACGATGACGAGACTGCCCCAACCCTGCGCGGATAACATCGTCCCCTTCGTAGCTAATGTCCTGAAATAATTGTTGTGACTGTGCCTAGCGATCTCTCACCATTTTGACGGTCGAGTACCTGGTGCGAGTACGTCGTCAATTTATGGTGCGATAACATCTGAGAAAGAACGATGATTCAGAGAAAAAAAACATCGGAGCGGGAAGCCACGGATAAGCCCATCGTACTGCGGTGAATTTCCGCATAGTACATGTAGTACATACGTATGATAGATAGATAGATATACGAAGAAGTACGTAGTGTACTTTGTACTTGAAAAATTAGTAAGTACAAATATACGTATACTCTTTAGTGTCGTACAACTACAGTACGTGTTTACAATAAAGAGTGAGCTTATTGCTGCTCAGATTGAGCTTGTGGCTCATTCACTAAGTATTCGTGATTTATCCTCACACCCGTACCATACTTCGTACATATTATGTGGGTGCTATTGCGAAGGTACATACCAAGTAGTAGCACTTGCTTATTAGTGCTCTCGCTCTCCCTCGGGTACGAGTACGTACGGTACTGTACAGTATGGTTGTTGTTACCGGTACGTAGGTATGAGTAAGGGAACAAATCGTTCAACAAAAGCGAAACTTTTTGATTTTTGATGCTGCGTTGAGGAATTTCTTGGCGGCTCGGAGGATCTCTGGAAGCATTTCGATCAAAAATCGTACAGAACAGAAGAAGATAGCAGCAACAGCAACACTGATGCGACCGTAAATGCTAGTTTTTGTAGAAGAACATAGTTGCTGAATTTTTTTAAATACATCATGGTTGCAATCGACATTGAAGTACGGCCAGAACAAAATGCCGGTGATGGCAACGACAGCGAATCGAGTGGAAGTAGCGCAATCGT